ATTTAATTTCTCTTTATGAAGAGGAGCAGACCCACACCCGTATTTTCATGCATGTGCCTTAGAGGTGAAAGGGATGTGAAGGGTGAACCCGAGTCCTCTCTGCCAGGAGATCCCTTCAGCAATCACTCACAACTGGAAAAACAAGGAGACATTAAGGAAAAGCTGGCAGCACAGGCAGGAGGAACAGTCATAAGGGTTTGCGCAGAATAAACTGCCAGCTTGCTGGGAACTTCATGTAAACCTTCATGGGCTTTACTTTCACATCTATTTGCAGAGCCAAGAGAGGTGTCAGGTGCAACAATAAAGATGAGATGGAGAAGGAAATGGTACCCAAGGTGGGACCAAGGTATGGCTGGGGTGCTCAACATCCCAGGCAAGATGGAACTGAGGCATGGCCAGCGTGCTCAGTGTCCCAGGTGAGGTGGGACTGGGGCTCAAACATCTGTTCAGTTATCTTCACCTTCAGCCCACCAGACAAAAAGTGCTGCTGAATTAACCCCTTGGGAAACAACAGCAAAATAACTACAGAGCCCGTGTGCAAAATTTTGCTGGTTTTCATCCCCAGCCTTTGCTGCTGGAACAGATCATGCCCTGCTCACTCCCAGCCCCTGCCACTGCTCTCACCTGCGGGCCCATCCAGGCCACCCCTGGTCCTGGGTGTGTTTTTCGGAAGCCTCCTCCTGCACAGGCCAGTCTCCACACCATGCCCACGGGTCGGCAGAAACACCCCTGGAGGCTGCGTCGCTTGCCGTCCTCACCGCGGGCAGGGATGCTCTCCACGAGCCTGCACCCCGCTCCTCTTGCTGCTCCCCTTGCTCCAGCCCTGCACTGACAGCCCTGCCAGCACCCACAGCGTGTGCATGGCTCGGGGAAGGGATGCTGAGCTCCAGAGAGGGTCTGTGGGAGCTCCCCCCTCAAGCCTCCTTAGGGCGCTGGGAGCCGGCCGGGGTGGTGCAGCTGTGCTGGCAGCAGCAGCTCCCTGGGGTGGGAGGCTTCACCACACTTTTCCACTCTTGGTGCCACACTCCTGGCACGCTGGCACTGGAAAACCATTGCCTTTTCGTCAAGGGGCTTTGTGACTCTGTCCCAGCCTCAGGGGTCCCTGAGTGAAGGCCCTGCAGTTCTCCTCTTCCCTTATTAAGGGCCAGTAAATGCTGTTGTAAAGGTGATGTCTGTGATGGTGCCTGGTACCAGAAGGGTCTCAGTGGTAAAGCAGAGCCAGAGTCACAGGACCCCCCAGGGATGCTTCCCTCACTGCCAGCCTTCCCAGCGAGCAAACAGAGGGGCTCCCTGTGCCCAGCGTCTCCTTCACTGCCGAATTTCTCAGTCCATGTAAACCTCTCGTGGTTCTGTCCCATCCGTGACCAGAGAGAGAGAAAGCACCGTCCCCTCCACTCCCATCTGCCAGTGCATTAGGAAAATGAGAGCTGATTAACGTCCATCCCCTCCTGAGCACCATTGGTCCCCAGCAAATTGCTGACACCACCGATTTAGGGGCAGTGGCAGACAGGTGGACTTCCCTCTCTCTGCAGACATCCAGGCTTAGATGGGTTGCTCGGGTTCTGAGCATTTGCTATAGTCAAAAGAAGTGCTTTAATTGCACAGGATGAGCCTGTTAATCAGATATTTTATTCTATCACCTGTTAAAAGGTTGGTTCAGGCAGTGCCTTTGCTTGCAGACCTGCTCCTCCACGGCAACACCAGGCGAGATGGGATGGGAAGGAGCTCATGTGCCCACACCAACCCACAGAGGCTGGAAGGGCCCTGTAGCACCAAAAACTCTTCTGTTTCTCAAGGCAGGCCAGCTGGAAAGCCCCATTTCCCTCCCATTAATCTCCACCTGCCAGCACTTTCTAGAAGGCAGTTAAGAGCAGTGAAACTGGGGAGATTTGCAAAATAAACAGCGATCAAACGCAAAGCCCTGGGTTCCTGCTCCGAGGGTGTCTGCCAAGACACACAGATCGTATCGGGCTAATTTACAAAAGGAAAACCGCTCTAATTAGTGTTCAGGAAAGCACTTTAATGAGAAAAGCATTAGTGCAAAAAAGCGAGAGTGCCAAGAGGTCAAGCTGTTCCTAAATGCCAGAAAACCAGGAAACAGGGCAGAGCCCACCCAGGATGCTGCACCGTTTTCTCACTTTTTAAATAATACCTCAGGTTATTAGTGAGGAATTCATAAAACCCAGAGCCAAATGCCCAGTGGCAGGGCAGAGCCTGTATGCAACAAGCTCTGAGCATCGCGATGCCGGGGGTAGGCAGGGCTGGGAAGCCCCTGCAGCCGTCTCCCCTCCTTCTTGGGGCAGAGTGTGGGTTTTATGGCTGGAGTTCTCCGCTGTGAAGGGGAGATCAGAAGCCCTGCCAATGCTTGGAGTCCCGTCTCGCTGGCGGCTCTGACGGCGGCCAGTAACCATGGCAGCGCAGGGGTTTTTCACGTGATGTTGGTATTTCTGCAGCACAAAAGAGCCTCTTATCTAGAATGAGTAACTAGTCTGGCTGGTCCTCATTCCTTCGGTTCTTGCTAAGACAGAGCGGCACGGGGCGGCTCATGTGATGCCCACCCTGGGGCCAATTCGGAGCATCCACGTGATGCTCGTCCTGGGGTGAATCCGGACCATCCACGAGGAGGAGGGATGGGAGGCTCCAGAAGGCCCGCAGATGCTCCCAGGGCAGCAGTCCCGCTGTGAGGAGGCAGAGCCCTCCTCCCCACCTCTTCTGACAGACAGAGCTGGGAAGGGAGCAGTGGCTGCCCCGGCAAGCTCAAGTTTTCAAAGTGAGCACCTGCAAACCCCGTGAAGCTCTTTAGGGCAATGCTGGTCATCCCCAGGGTGTGACAGCCCAGAGCTGGCAGGAGTGTTCCCTGGCCACCCCATAACATCACTCCCCACGACCTGATTTATCTCACTTCTCCAGTTGTTGACGTTTCTTCTCAAATTCCTTCCGATTTGTCCAAGAAAGAAGTTTTGAGACTTTAACCGTTTGACTTCCAGCTCTTCTCATGTATCAAGTGGCTTCTAAAGGCAAGAAAAACTACACGAAATAAGGTAGCTTTCTAGGCTTCTCTTCTTCAGATGAACTCACACCCAACTCACTGATACTGTGCAGGTCTCCCTAAGAACATTCACCCTTTGGCATGAACCAAAGTGGGTGAGTTTCATCCCAAAATAAGAATGGGTAAATGAGGAAAGAATGAGAAAAGGAAAAAGGTCATCAAGCCTGAGCTCAGCCTAAACTGCTGTTAATAAACGCTGGCATGGGCATCTGTGGGCTTGTGAACCTCTGTGTGGCCCCTTCCCAAATGGTGGTCTGGCTGTTTTTCAGGGTGTTGGCTCCAGTGGGACCATTTCTGCACTTAAAAGGAGCTGCTTGCTCGGGACAATAAAAAACAGAGTTGTGTTAGCTCCATTTTAGAGGCAGGTAAAAGGGATTTGGGGAGAGTTATATGCAACCACGACTCAAAGCAGAGCTACACAAAGGAAAAAAAGTATATATAGGCAGAAAAGGTGGGTTACAGACTGTTCCCTGAACTAGGACTGTGTCCTGCTGGTTAAGGTCTGCAGGCTTCAAGGTTAAAGTGCTTAATTTTATTTCAGGCTTTCTAATTGAACACCATTTAACTGGGCTTTCCATTTATCCTGAAATTTCTTTCTGGACCTGAGTCTAATCCTCAAACCTGCTTATTTGCTTTTACTTTCATTACAACCTTATCAGTGATTAAGCTGCAGTTGCACTTAATCTTTTTAAAAGATTGCTCTGGCTATAAATACAGAGAAGCTACCTGCCCTGTTTCTATCGAGAGGAAAGCAACCTCCTCCACCATCACATGCCTGTGTGGGTTATACTATTCCTTCTGTAAGCTGGTTTTTTTAATGGGAGACATTTGTCTTCTTTAACTTCATACAGAGCATCAGATCAGTGTTCTCTGAAGGACATAACAGCACAGGTCATAGGGAACATGAATATAAAAAGTATATATGTATTTATATTGATACTTTCATATATGTAAACAGTATATATAAAGCCTCCAGTAAAGATGCTATTTGTGATAGTGAGGCAAAACCCATCACATTCCTTCAGCTCCAACAGCAAGCTCTGCTTCCTCCTCCAGCAGCCCTCTATTCCACTTATTTCACTAAAAAGCAGCAACAGCTAAAATATCACTGCAAGAAAACCTGGTTTCTATGGCAATAAGCAGCTGCCTGGCAAGATCCCTCAAGTACTGCATTCATATTCTTAGAGGATCTCATATCAGATAGACCCAAGACTTGAGGACATCAAGTGGAAGGAGCAAAAGCTAATAAGAAATGCAGTAAAGGTACATGGAGCGTTACCAAATCCATCAGGAGCGTTCCAAGGGCAGTTGTAGGGAACAGGAAGTGATAAGTGCCCACTGCAAGATACTTATTGGAACAAATGCAGAGAATCCCGTTGCAAATACAGCAAAACTGGTAAATGAATGGAGTTACAAAATTCAGCAGAAAGCCAGCTCGTGGCAACCCCCAAACCAAGGGGCACTGAAGTCTCCTCAGCCTCCCTGTCACCTCTAAATAGTCCTGCACAGCAAACAGACCTGAGCTCAACTCCCCAGCCCAGCCCATAAGCCCAGCCCTACCTTGACCTTAATTATTACCTGGAGAATAATCCCTCCAAAGAACTAAAGCCGTAAACAGACCGCAGAGCAGGATAATTTCAGATGTCCCCATGGTTCCAGAATTACCAGTTGTGTATCCATCGCCATCTCATGCTGCATTTTGAAAACTAAGGTCTTCAAGCAATATTTGCCATTTAAGAAGGATTTTTCCCCTCCTACTGGTGATTAAAATAAAAAGTACAATTCTCCTACCAGTATTGTGTGACCTGTAAATTATTTATGGGAAAATCTGTGAACTGCATGTTCAGGACTTTCTGGCTCTGTTGGTGCATCAGTGAGCAAAAAGTGGGAAAACAACTGGAGTGTTGAAATAAATCCACAGCAAATGAACGGTAATCTACATGGTGTTTATTGTAGATACAGTGAATTATGAAAGCCATTACACTCCACTATTTATTTAAATGCTTCTTCTAAACTGTATCAAACCACAGCAGCAAATCAGAGCCCCAGTTTGACTTTTGCATGTTTCCTGGTTTGATTATATAAATGTTTATGGAGTGAGAAGAAAATACTTTGCACTCTGCACGGAAACCTTCTACCCAGCAGGAAACCACTTGCAAATGACTGAGGACGAGAAATATTCAGGGAGGTTTGGGTGAGTGCAGCCTCTCCCCTGCAATGTGAAGGGTAGTGGTGGCTTCAGATCCTCCTGCAGTACAGTGGGGCTCATTAAATTTGTTTTAAAGAAAGCAAGGCATTGTTAATTAATGCTAACGTCTATTCTGGCTTTTTCTGCCACAGAAACCCATCTATTTTGCAAGAGAGGGGGGTAAAAAAGAATGAAAGAAGATCCTAAAGGAGGTGAAGATCAGCCCCAGGCTGCTGATGGGAAGAGGGATCACCCAGGGGGGTGATGCCAGAGCTGACACCCTTCACAAACAGCCCGGCTGTCTCACAGCCAGACCTGTGGAACCTGCAGCACTGCTCACAGGATTTGCTGAACACCTGAGAAGCCCCTTGGCTGTGGAGATGGGGCTGCTCCCTGCAGCAAAACCTGCCCCAGCTTTTCCTCCAGAGGATGGAAACTGGCTGCTCTCGGTGGGGCCAGCTGTGCTGGGGGGATGTGGTGAGCAAGAACCTTGGGGAGGATCTGCAGAGCCTCATGTGGTACCATCCCACCCACCGCCTCTCACCACCTCTCAGCTCACCAGCAGCTGGCTCTGGGTGGTGCTGGGCATGAGGAAGATGAGGACCTGGTGGTGCTGGGAGAAGATCAGACACCTTGGGCCATCAGCTGGGTGTGCTGGCTGCTAATCAGATGTTCACCTTCCCTTCCAGTGCCCAGTCACAGCATGGGGAGAGTGCCTTCACAAGTGCCCTGTTGCAGTGATGAGCAATACCAGAGTGGCTTCTGCATGGGAAATGTGGCCAAGAGCGAGTCAAGTGACTGAAGGGCTGGAAATCAGCTGCTGGAAAAGTGGATGCCACCGAGGCCCAGCAATTACTGCAGGGGAGCACCTGCACGCTTGTGCAGAGTTGCTTGTGTGACTCTGAGCTGACTCTGAAACACTGTCCGGGAGAGGAGAGCACTCACTGCACTTCTCTTTCCCCTCCCAGCTGGGAACCAGCTCAGCTTCTCCCTTCCTGCTCTCTGTTTATCTCTCCCAGCACCAGCACCCATGGAAACCCAGGGTTAGAAAGGAACTGCAGGAACATCCAGGATTGTGCTTCTCCATCCCTGAAAGATGCTCATCAAACCTCTCCACAAGAGCCTGCAGCGATGGAGACCCCACCACCTTCCCAGGATTGGTGGATTGCTGGCAGGAACTCTTCCCAGTGGCAAACCCAAGGTGGCCTTGGCACCACGCAGGGGCCCTCAAGTACCTTGCAGACTATGCACTCGGGGACAGACCTTGGCATTCTTGTGACAGTGTGATTTGCTCCATGCTCGGCTTGTGAGCATAGTCCACATCCTTTTTGGATGAATCACCCTCCACTGCTGCTGTCAACCTTGAGCCCAGCAGAGAAACCTTGTTATTTTTTCCCCCCTGGTTGTTTCTGGCCAGGCGGTGACTCAGCTGTCAGAGGTGAATAACTCTTCACGCTTTATCCCAACACTCATTAACCATCCAGAGCCATAAAAAGCAATTTCTTCCAGAGCTCTCCCTCCGTAAAGCTGGATTTCAAAGCAAGAGGGTTGGCTGGCCCGAGATTTAGTGGGAAATTCATAAAGGTGCTCAATAAAAATTGATCTGCAGAGCGTGGAAGCTTTGTATGGTTCTGGGTCAAATGGCAGAGGGTTTTATCAGCAGTGAGTGAGGGTCTGGACAGAAGAGGGAGGCAGATCCTACCCGCAGCACATTGCAAAGCCTACAGCCACTGCAGGGAAATCATTAACGACAAAAATCTGCTACCCCAGGCATTTGCCTGACTCCTACGCCTGCCCCAGGACGTGCTGCTGTTTCATTTCTCTCCTTCTTCTTTGTCTTCTTTCTCTGAAATCTCAGCAGCCAAGATTTCCTCATCTTCCTGTGCCGTGGGAATCACACGAACGGTGACTAAATGATCAGAGGATTCTGAGGATATTTCTTCCAGGCGGGTTTTTTCTTTGCGGGAGGTGACAGGCGATCTCTGGTGCACGGGTGATTTTGGACAGAAACTGGAACCCTGCTATAAAAACAAATAAAAAAGGCAAAATCAACCTTAGCAGACGCTTGCCCAGCACCCCCAACACTGTGTCTGCACTGTGCAAAGCCAGGCAGCTGTTCTGGGGTTCCACCACAAGCATTGGGATGTCAGTTTGTTGCCAGAGTTGCCCCCTGCGAGAGGGGCAGCTGGATTATATCCTGCATGTCTTGAAAACACAGAGAGGACTTCAACAGAGCTTTCTCACACCTCCTGCTCTAGCTCTTGTTTTGCTCCTGAAGCATCTGGAGGGGCTGATCTGGGCTAAACATGGCAGAAGTGGTGCTGTGAGGGAGCAGCCCTAAACTGCCCTGTCCTCCTTTAGAGAGGAGCCTTGGAAACTCGTCCTCAGGATGTGCTACAGCGAGGGATGTCTTCCCAGCAGTGGGGTCCTGCTAACCCATTAGTGGGGTTAGTTCCCAAAACGTGCACCCTTCAGTGACGGGTCTTGCTGCCACTACCCCATGGAGCCCTCAGTGCCTCTGTTCACCACTGCCATGAACTGGTTATGAATCAGTGTTCAGCACCACTGATGTGTGTGAAGCCTCCTCTGTTGTGCTTCTGTGAGGGCCTGCAGAAATGCAGCTACGCCTGGCATCTCCCTGGGTGTTTACCCAGCCTCAAGGCCACCCCTCCCTATCAGCTACTCTTCCACCTCCCTCTACGTGTGCAGATGTGATAGCCCTGCATGGTTCCGTGCTGGGAAGAGCAACAACGAGACGAAACTTTGTTTTCAAGTTTAGCTGAGACAGCTGGAAGAAAAAAAAAAAAAAAAAAGCAGGGGGTTTCATGCAGATCTAGCAGGACAGCAGTGCCTGCTGTGGGGGCCTCTGTCCCAGCTGCACCACAAAGCTTTGATATATTGACTGGGCTGTGGGTGCTCGGTGCCAGCACTGCCCTCTGTCCTGCCAGCACAGCGATCAATTACGAGAAGCTCTGTCTTTGCAGGATGGAAGAGACATTTGTCTCATCCGTGGCTATAGCCCAGCTAGAAATTACACTCAGGCTTAGCAGAGCTAGGCAAAAAGTCAGTGTACTACCCTTTTGTGTTGCAAAACAAACCCCTGTGGGACACTGGCGTTCTCCCAAGGCCCCGTTGGAGATGTTGGGTCACCCCTTTCCCATCTGCCCATGCTATGTCAGACCCTGATGGCCTGAGCTCAATTCTTCAAGGCACCTTAACGAGTCTGAAGCCCGTGGAGGGAAGCAGAGACTCAGCATCTAACGAAGCAAAGCTAAACTTCCATCCTTCCCACGCTGACCTGGGCTGCCTGCATCGCCTTCAGCTCCTTCAGCCTCCAGCGCAGCTGTGCCAGTGGCCCTTTGCCCCCCGTCCTCCCCGTGGCAGCCAGGGCAGCCTTGAAGAGCTTTGGGGTCTCAGGTTTTGGGGGAATGATCAGCGAATCTCCAGGGCCTCCTCTCTCCTCTTTGGGCTTGTTGTTGTTCTTCAGCATCTTCCTGCAGCAAGGAAGAGGAGAGATGATGTCAGTCCGGGGACGTGTTCTATTAGCTGGATTTTATAGCGAGGAAAAAAACGGGCTTTAGAAGGGCAGGGATTTGTTATGCCTTAGGAAGGACGGAATAACAATTCTAAGTAATGCTGAAAACTAAATACTTCAGTAGATTTTGAAGCGAAGGCACCCTGGCCACGTTCGTTCCCCAGCTCCACCCACTTTTTAGAGGCGAAGGTTGACGGCAGGGCTGGGGCAGCCCCATCCTCCCCAACCCAGCGACGAGGGACGGGTGCCCTCTGCCGAGGCACAGCAGATCCAGCCCGGAGCAGGAGCCGCCTCTGGGAGTGAGAACCCAGCATCTGCAGCATGAGCTTTCCCGGGGCTTCGCACAGAGGGAAATCTCCCCTGAGATTCTGATGCCCCGGCTCTGCTATTTTTAAAAAAACCCACGCACTTGGCCTTCTTACGCAGCAGCTTCTGGGACTCCGGATAGTGCACCAAAATCTCGTTCAAGTCCTTCTTCTCCAAAATGAAAAGGTTGGCGAATCCGTGAGCTATGACGTTCGCTGTTCGGCGATTTCCCCCTCCTGCCGCCAGCAAGCTGAGAGAGACACAGCAAGACATCAGTGCTTCTGTTCACAGGCTCAGCACAACTTCAGGTCTCCTATTTTACATGTCTCCATCTCTCTCTCTCAGAGGACTCGGAGCTTAATTTTCACCCCCCATGGAATTTTCCATATCTAATTTTTGAAGAAAATTTGCATGCAGCACTATACATAATAAATTATTTGGGGGTTTGAAGGGTTAAATATTGCAGTTTACACCAGTCTAGTGGCTGCTGGGCTGTAGGGAGGCAGCAGTATCCCTGTGTTACAGACTGGTCCAGGACATTACATGCCCATGAAATGGGCGGATTAATGGTTGTGGGGCTGTTTTTGTGAAACATCTTCTCTTATTCATATTTTCACCCCTCCATCCATACACCTCTGCTTACCATCACCAGCTCCCCAGGCTGAAAACAACATGATGGCAAAACCAGCAGAAAAGCTCCAAGAAAAAAAACCCCTGTAATCTGTGTCTCAGCCGCTGCCCAGAGTTCACGGCTCTCACTCACAAAGAAAATTGGGTTGCTGCTGATCCTTCCACTTCCTACCTTCCTCTCCCAGAGCCCACAAACTGTATTTCCCTGGTCCCCTGAAAATGCTTCACTCACCTTATTTCTCCAAACACGGATCCAGCTTTCAGAGTCACCAGCACGGATTTGCCGTCGGGTCCCCCCAGCACCTGCACTTGTCCCGCCTGGATGATGTACATCTCGCGGCCTATTTCTCCCTGCAGGGAAGAGGGACCCTCCCATGACCTTACTGCCCCTCTCCAAGCTCCCAAAGTTCTTTGTCTGGATGGTGTTTAGTCCTAAGCACCACCTAAGCACCCCAAGATCTCCTGCAGCTCGACAGGCTCTTCCCTGGTCTCCTGCTGTTCGTGGCTGCGGCAGAAGAGGTCGGTCTTTGTACGAGACCAGCTGCAACCAAGGATGTTTTTGCTCCAGATTCCCTCCCTGTGAAGTGGCTGGTGATGGGCCAGGCCTGGCTTTCCCCTAGTGGCCTGCACAGCCTGGCCATAACACCGGGGATGGGAGGGCACCCAGGCATCACATCTCACATTACCTTCTTGCACACGTAGTCATTAGGCAGGTAGACCACCGATCTGAGCCGCTTCAGCATGTCAAAGATCATCTGTCTGTCACAACCCTGAGCCAAAATAGAGCCAGCAGTGGTGTAAGTGTGTGTCAGGCAGTGGCAGGCTCTGCCAGACAGCACCTGTGCTGCAGAGGATACCTGGAAAAGGGCCACTTTGCTCACGATGTTGTAGTTCACATCGATGGCGATGTCCAGCCTCATCTTGTCTGGCAGCTGCACCAGCAGCTCTGACTCATCTGTGAGACAAAGCAGAAAACTGGCTGTTTCCAGCTCTTGATATGAGAGCGTGTCCTTGACGTGGCAGTAGGGAAGCAACTCACATGCCGGTGGCAGAGGGCAGGAGCCAGCTCTCCCAGAAGGGTCTCCTCCAGCCTCTGCCCACCCAGCAGCCTGCAGGTCTAAATCCAAGGGGTGACAGAGAACCACCCTTCAAGTTATCACTGCCCTGATGGCTCTCAGAGACACACCACTGAGCCCAAGCCATCATCTTGCTTGCTCAGGAGGGTGATCACAGAGGTCCTGGTCCTGCCTGGTACAGTGAGCTGCTGGCTTTGCTGCTGGACACACTCTGGCCAGCGATTGCCAGGTCACCAAAGTGCTGTGACCCAATAGTGAAGAGTAAAATAAGTCACCCTACACCCCAAAACTTCAGTGCTGTTTTGACACTAACATTTCAATCTCTGCAAAACAACCACAAGCTAAAACAGAGCCCTTGGAATGGCTGGATCTCACCTAGCATGCCCTGCGAGTGCCACGTGTACTCATACCACATTTTCACCCGGTTCTGAACAGTTTTGGGGATTTTGTAGAAGTTCATGTATTTAATGGTACTGTCCATGCAGCTCCGGTAGTAGGTTTGCCCTGCAGTAGCGGCGCCAACCACGTCTCTCATCTGAACAGAAGAGGTGGAAGAAAAGGTTTAGTTGCTGCCACTTATCCATCACTCAAGCAGTCTAGAGCGTGTAAACCGAGCCCTAACAGCATCTGGCAAGTACTTTTTGTCTTGCACTAGTGCCAAGCGGGGAAAACAAACCTGAGGATGCAAATCTGTGGATCAACCACTCTGCAACCATCCCCGCCTGAGGCTGGGAACACCCCCACGACTCCCACTCACCTGCCCTATCATGACAGAGAAAGCAAAGACGCCTGTGAAGTAGTTCAGCAGCTGGAAGACAATCTCAAACAGTGTCTTGGGGTCTGGCAGGCCCCCGATGGTGATGAGGGTCTTGACTGCCCAGTAGTAGCAGCGGATGTAGCTGGGAGGAAAAGAGGAGGCAGCTCTGAAGGTGTTTCTGGCATGAAGGCCTTGTTTCACCACTCTGCACTGAGCTCACATCCTCTGGCCATGCCAAGCCAGAGCCTGCTGAGAGTAATTATGGGTGACCAAGGAAAAACTGAAGAGCTCCAGACTCCCCCCACACCTGCAGGTGCTTCTGGAGGTGCTGCAGGAGCAGTGGGACCAATGGATCCTCCAAAAACCTCCATGTGGGAGGCTCAGCTGCTCTGGCTGCTCCCATTTTCTGCTCCTTACAGCTCCACTGCCATAAACCATAAACCAGCAATGTGTTTTCAGCAACATTTACACTTTCAGGAATCATCAGGGGATAACAAGGGTTTGTGAACTGAATAGTTAGCCAAGGATGCTCTGCATCCTCTCCTGGCACTCCCAACCCTTTGCTTTAGGGTTTTCATGAATCCAACTGCACCCCAACACCTCCCTTATTACTTCAGCTCTTCACAGCAGGCTGTGCTATGTAAGATCCAAGCCCTGGCTTGTACCTGTTTCCTTCCCCATCATAGACCCAGGTGGTAGAGCCCAGTCCTTCGTAGGCTGAGGCCCAGTAATAGAGGCAGGAGTTCACATGCAAGCTGTACAGTAAGTAGGCAGTGGTCCGAATCACTCTGCAAAAAGAACCAGGAGAGAGCAGGAAGGAAGATGATACAGTGTCTCCTGGGAGAAATATGTCCCTACCACCCCCCAGCATCACAAGGAGCCTCAAAACGATGAGCAAGAGGCTCCTGCCGTTGCAGGAATCACAGAGCACCCAAACATGCACCCTACTGCTCCCTCCTGCAGCCCTGCAGCTCCAGAAGTGCCAGAAAAAGCCATGGGAGAGGTGATCCTACCCACATGGGCTCTGGGAGCTCAACATCCTGCTGCATCAGCCAACATTCACGTCAGCCAGCCCGGGGACAGTGAAAAATAAACCAGGAGCCCGGAACGGGTGCCCACCAAAGTGAACCTTCCTCCCCAGTGGCAAACAGCAACTCCACATTCACTCCTTCCCTCAATCCCCCCCCTCACCTGTAGATGTATGCCTTGGTCAGGATGGCCTCCAGGCGGTTGTTGAACTCGAAGAAGGCCATGTACTGGGAGGAGAAGGAAAGCAGCTCCAGCTTCCTGCGGCCCCCACCGCGACAGTCACCTCCCCATGAAGCCCCACTGCCCCTCTGTTTCCCTCCTGCAGCCCCCCTGCAGCATGGGCTGCCACAGACAGGTTTGGGGCCATCTATAAGTGCCCTTCTATTCAAATGTGAGCGGGGCTTAGACTGAAATGAAGATTTGACAAACAGCACTGCGAAGCCTTTGGGATAAGACTTCCCTTACGTTTTACAATCCTCTTGTCATCATTAACAAGTTTAGCAGGCCATAGTTCATCCCAGCAGCACAGAACTCCTCCAAATCCACTGCAGCTGCTGTTCTGCCTGATTTCGTAAACTCCAACTCACCTTTAGGCAGCGAGGAAAGCGCAGGAGTGGGTTGACACCAATTTTGAAGTAGAAGAAATCCAGGGGCAGAAGGCACAGCACATCCATCTGAAATCCACACAAAGAGAGAAAGAAGCCTCTGTGGGGACCTGCAGGTACACTGGGAAGGGGCTGCAAACCACGGGGCAGATTACAGATTCAGATAAATAAATAAAATTATGGCAAACCTTAAAACGTTGCGATCGCAGGTAGTTCTCTTTCATGGCCTTTTTATCAGTCTGGATGGGAACAGGAAGGAGAGAGAGAGGGAAAGAGAGAGAGGAAGATTGATCATTGCTTACAGACAGCAAAATCACAGCCAACATGCTCATGCCTGGTTTTACTTTTCTGCACCATTAAATGGAAGATTTTCCCTTCATTTCCAGGAATGGGAGCAGAGCAAGACAAGCAGAAGACCTGGCCACATGCCATCTTCCCATCCTAGCTTGGGACATCCTGTGCTTGCTTTGCATCCCAGAGAAAGCACATCACAGTGCCAACCTCACAAGAATCAGAGTTTACAGGAGAAACCTGCCTGTCTGAGCATCTGCATGGCCATGGGAAGGCTGTACCCTCAAGGTTTGATTTTTCACAGCTTATTTAATTGAACATAGAAACAAAAATCAAAGGGCTTTCACTTTTCTCAGGCGCCTGATCTGTGTGTTCAGATTGCAGTTGCCCATGCATTCTGCCCAGCCTGCTCCTGAAAATCAAACTCAGGAGTTTTTCACACCCATGCCCATGGTCAGCAGGGCACAACTACACCAGGGCTGGTCAGTGAGCACCTCACACCATGGGCAGAACAACCCCACAGAGCAGCACCCTTCCCAGGAATGGGGCTGCCGTGGACCCAGGGTGGGTTGGTATTGACTTTAGGGGATGAACAGTGTATTTGGCAGACAAAAAGACTGCCAGGAGAGATGCCTGCAGTCTCCAAGAGTGGACACAGCCCTGATGTCCATGGCCGTGGTGGGAGAGCTGGGAGAGCTCAGCTCAGAGGTCTGGGGCCAGCACCACCCCTGTTGTTTGGGGTGATGGGGATGGGTCCCCGCAGTGGTGGGATGCAGCGTGCTGCCACTCACTATGATGTCTCCGCCCTGGACGAACTGCAGCCGGGTCTGGAACACCAGGATGTCCAGCAGGTAGATGAGGTCGCAGAGGTAGTCCACCAGCAGCCAGCAGTGGATGTTTGCCGGCGTCTGGTAAGGGAAAGCCCAGCGTACGGGGATCAACCAGCAGTTCCAGTTCCAGGCCATGACAACGAAGAACAGCCACAGCACGTACATCAGATCTGCACACAGGGAACAGCACCACGGTCAGCTGGGCAGGCATCCCACGGTTTTCATGCCCTGACCTGCCCTGAGCACAACGTGGAACCCTGCAGGAGGTCTCTTGGTGACAGCATTTAGTTGCAGGTGAGCTGGGCCCCAGCGCAGAGCGAACAGCACCAGTCACAGAGCACACCGTGTTTTATTGGGAAGCTTCCAACTTTGCTCATTCAACTTGTTTTGCTTTGCCCCCACAACACAGATTTTCCCTGTTTTGCTTTTCCCCCTGCAGCCATGCTGAAATGATGGCCTGAGCCCAGGGGCTTCCAAAGGGATGGGAAATAGCAGAGACTAAGGAAAGAGCTGGGCTCCTGTGGAGTGACCACCAGGCAGTGGATATTTCTTTTGTGACTTTTATTTTTATTTGGAGTATCCACACCACAGGGACAGCGTTTTCTTACTAAAAAGCCTGAGGGCAGCTGTCCCTTCCCTGTCCAGCTGTGCTCCTGACATACACAGCTATCGGGAAATATTTAGGAAAGTTTATGCCTTGCAGGGAAATTTAAAACTCTAGGCTTTAGTGAAAGCTAAGTCGCTTCTTTCTTAGTTCTCCTCTCCTCTCTATGAGGTCTCCTCTCTATAAGGTCTCCTCTCCTGCACCTCCTCCCTTGCTCGCCCCCTTTCCCCGGTCCCACCAGCTTGCCCCCAGCCCAGGCATGAGGCCGTGCTCCATCACTCACTGGTGAGTGGGTCGATGCTTCTGGGGAACTGGTAGCTTTTCAGGCGGTGCGTCCAGGGCCGGTACTTGAAGGTGCAGCACAGCATCTCACAGTAGTGGTCGTCCCCTGAGGGCTTGTCCCCTTCCACCTCCCCTCCCGGGGGAGGCACCGGTGCTGCCGCAGGTGCCGGCTTAGCGGGCGCTGGGAGAGGCCACACAGTTAGTTTTAAAGTGCACAAAAATCTTCTTACTGCAATTTGTTCTAAGGTCTTTAAACTGCAAATGAAACATCTGTCTCCCACAAAACATGGTGGGTGTGTGGGGACCCACCAGCGAAACGCCCCCAGCCCCGCTGGAACTCACATGCCACGGGGCTCTCATCATCCGAGGTGACATCGGGGTCAATCAGCTTCTCTTTCACCTTCTCCGTCCTCTCTTTGAAGAGCTTCACCAGCTCCTGGAGCCGGGTGTTGATGATGGCACTGCTCAGGCTCGTGGCCGAGCCGATGCGCTCGGGCAGGCTGTGGGCAAACCAGCGGGCATTTCATGCAGGTAGGAAAGCACCAGGGCAGGGCTCACAGAATCACGGAATCCTGGAATGGTTTGGCTTGGAAGTGACCTTAAAGCTCATCTCATTCCAACCCCTCTGCCACGGGCAGGGACACCTTCCACTAGACCAGGTTTCTCCAAGCCCTGTTCGTCCTGGCCTTGAACCATAATCATGACCCATTCTTTAACCCCCAGAATCTGAATTAGGATTTACCCGTATTTGTTTGGGTGTTGTGTAATGAGAAGGACACAAGCCAAGGTGGTTTCAGTCAAAGATCATCAAGCTTTGAGCCTCATCTGCTCCCTGGGATGTGAGATGCTGTCAGAAGGCTTGGGAAGCACCAAGATCCCAGGCTGGATTGCATGTGCTTGGGATACTATGATTTTGGAAGAACTATGGGGTGAAAATGTGCATCAAGCCCCAGAACTTACGAACTATATCTTCTCTTTTCAGCCTCTTGATTATAACCAGGTTGGATTTAGACCAGGATGCTTCACTTAGCATGACTGAGAAGCATCAGTAGGAGGGAGGACAGAAACAACCTCGTTTGCTGTAGCCCTGGCTGTTTTGTTGTGATGATTGGAAGAAGGCAAACCTGTGCTCCATGTGGAGTTGCAGACCCTCCCTGTGAGTGTTTCTCCCAGGGAGGGCAGCTCCCTCCAAGGCTGTGGGAAAGCCAGGGCCTGGGGTGTGTGTGATGCACAGCTTGTGCTCACTTCCTACATGGAAAAAAAAGGTCATTTCTCCACAACCAGTAAAAACAAGGTGTCCTCACAGTGCTATGGCATATGTAGATCAAAGGTGCATTTTCTTTGCAGTTACACCCAGTCTTAAAAAGAATATTTCTACATGTACACAGGAAAAACAAGAAAGCAGTTTCTTCTCCAGTGAGCGTCCTGATCATTATTTTTGGAGAGGGGTTGCTTTCCTTGTTAAGCACCACCAGACCCACTGTGGGCACGGTTCCCTCTCCCTTTGGCATCCCAGCACTTGTAGGATCTTTGTTATTTTCCCCCAAGTCCCAGGATCCAAACCCCTGGGAGCTTGGCTGATCCGGAGCCCCCCGGGTCCCACCACACACCTTTCCCTCTGCTCCTCGTCCCAGCCCAGCGCTCGGGTGGGGGAGTGGCTCAGCAGTCCCTCCTCCAGACCATCCTCTGGGACCAGTCGCTTCCTCCTGCAGGCACAAACACAGCGACCGAGGGTCGGCTTGTCTCCCATCCTCAGCCAGCTCTTCTCCCTCCTCCTCCTCCTCCTCCTCCCAGGGCTCATCTGCTTTCCACTTCCCCTCCTCCTACGAGGGTCAGTTTTCCCCTAACTTTTGGCATCGCCTGGAGCAAACCACCCTGTTCCTTTGCTGCTAAAGCCCTGTTTCTTCCTGGGCTCCACAGGTACTGCAGCCACCCAGCCCACTTTGTAACCACTTTTGGACACAAGATGCATGGAGGGCAGGCACTACTCTGTGCTTGTCCCCAGTGCTGCGCTGTCACATCACTGCACTCCGAGAGGCAGGCAAGGAAAGTGCAGTACCAGGAACACCTGGAAGATGTGTCCTAACACAGCTGGCGGCTCCCCTTGGCACAGATGGGTTTCTGAGACAACTTCCTTACACGTGGGCAAGCAGAGTGGCAGAAGGAGAGCTGAATACAAAGATGGCAATCACAACAAAATCTGGACTGGTTTGCAAACCTTCACCAAGCCCAGAATTTCAGCTGCAACAAATAAGTGGTCTCCTGCCCCCACAGCTGCTGATCCCACTGGCCCTGGTAGAACATGGCTCAGTGCTGCATGGGGAGCAGGAGCAAGCAGGACACTTGCAGGGAGGTTGTCTTGCCATCACAAGTCTCTTGAAGAATGCCAGATGCTGTGAACCCACCACCTCCAGCCTCACTGGCTCTCAGGTGTGTCCAGCTGGGAGGGGGAGAAAGTAAACAAGCCAGCTGGGACAGAATGCCCCGTCACAGCCTCAGCATCACTGTTTCTGTGGCCCTTGGAATGCTGCAGCCAGAGGCCACCAGCATCCAGCTGTCCTGAGCCTGCCTGGACATGTGGGACATGCGGGGTCCCTGCCCATATGGGACTGGAATATCCTGGTATTTTTTGCCTGATAGAGCCTGTTTTGAGGCTCCAGTTACACAACGTGTGGCCCGTTAGCAGTGAGTCTTTTATGACCACATTCACTCTAATCCTTCACAGAGCCCTGCAGGAAATAACTCGAGACTGTGGCCAATAGAATGGACTTAGGGATAACGTGGTGACTGCTCAATGAAGAACTGATGTCCTCTTACTCTGGAAACACCAGCAGGAGAGGAGCATTTTCTTCAGGTTCAGAACGATTCAATTTTTTTTTTTTTTTGTGTAGGAGAACAGGAGTTGCTTGCCTTTAAGAATCTCCAGCTCTATCAAGGGACCTCCAGTGTTGTTTTGAGACAGTCCCTGGAGGCACAGCAGAAAGGTTTATATGCTCACATGTGTAACTGCAAATATTCTCAATGCTGTCAGTATTTGCACTGCAGGGATTTTACATGAAGCCATGGGCTCCTCTTTCTCAGTTTTAAAAGCTGTTCAGCAGGTTGGATTATGGACATTTTCACCATTTTATTTGGTTCTCCAGGACCTTGTTTCTTAAAAGATCCAAACTATTAAGTGAGAATGACTATAGCACCTGGTTTTCAGCACAGAAAAAAACACTTTGGTTTTGATTTTTAATCCTCTGCAAGAATGGACTTCAAAAAAACCCCACCTCAACAACAGACAAAAAAATGAGCTCCCTCCAGCCTAAATTTTAAAGCTCAGTTTTAATCCCTCTGGGCACAGAATCACCAAATGGTTTGGGTTGGAAGGGACCTTAAAAGTCCAACCCCTTGCAACAGGCAGGGACACCTTCCACTAGACCAGGTTGTTCAGAGCCCTATCCAACCTGGCCTTGAACACTTCAAGGAACGGGGCATCTACTATCCATCTGGAAGCACAAACCCGGGGGGAGATGCTGCAAACCCTTTCAGCAAAAATACAAGAAAATTGTTGGGTTTATGATGAATGCCCAGATCCAGTACACAGGCTCCCCACGCTCTGAATTTGGGAGCACAGACAAGTGGGACAAGAGATAAATGGAATCCAACCACGGCCTGGGGATCGAGCCCATCTCCAGGAGGACACACAGACAGGGCTGTCCCTGGCCCCCAAAAGCTTTAAACAAAATTCAACCATTTAATTAAAAAACGCAAACAACAGGCAAAAAGCCTTTGCCATCTCCTCTGCCGTGCACAGGGGTGGCTCCCACCCCACGCACATCACCCTGCCTCACTGTCCAAACCTGCTGAAAATGGGCTGCTCCATATGGTTACAGAACTTTTCCTGTGCTGGCACCATCAAGGGGTTTCCCCTGGGGAAAGCAGAGCCGTACCTGGGGGATGCTGCGCCGGGCACCGCCAGCCTGTTGGGAGCGCCGGCAGCGGGCACCGGTAAGTGGGTACCATCGTTCTCTGCAGCATCGCTGTCCACATCCTTGATCTCCACGGTGGGGTAATTACCTGCTCCGTGGGGAAGGACAATAATTGCAGGTGAGGGGGGTGCAGGGCCCCGCCTGGAGCCAGGATGGCTCCCCAAGCCCCATCGCTGCCACAATGTTGCTCCCAGACCTTGCAGCGTGCTGGGAGGACTCTCCTTCTCCCTCCATTCTCTTCTCGCCTGGCACTCCTTTCTCCTAACTCTTTGAGGCATTTCTTTCTCTTTTTTTTCCCCCACCAGTTTTTAACACCAAGAGCAGCCACCTGCTTCCCTTCTGCATGCCCAGATTGCAGTGATTTCATTTACTCCATCTGATTGTTGGGTTCCCGTGGTTCAGAAAACAATAGAGATTAGGATTCCCAGCTGCAGGCGTTATGCAGGGACCCAGGATTTCCAGGTGCAAACTTCCCTCCCAGGGTCTAGAAATTCTCTTGGGTCTTCTGAACATAAACATATGGATCATGACAGCTCCAAATCGCACAGCACTTGCTTTTCATGCAGAATAAGGCACTATTTAAATAAACATTTATGGCTTCTCTCTTTTGCAGAGGTAATAACTGCTTCCTGCCACAGGCAGGAGGGTTGGATGTTTATAGTGGGTAAAGAAAGATGCCAGCTGTCTAAAGGAGAAATGGTGCTAGGGTTGCCTTGGCCATGCCCCACAGCTGGCTTGGTTGTGAAGTGTCATCTCTTTTCTTAGCTATTTAACAAAATACAATCAGTTCCTGGTGGCTTTCTTCCTTGGGAGGTTTTCACACATCTGAGAGACCCTATGCACCCCCTCCTGTTTCCTGCAGGTGTGGAACTAGTGGATCAGAGCGTGGCTTGATTAAATCCCCAAGAAAAGGCCTGTTGGGGCTGCAAAGTTAAAATCCTGTTGCACGTAGGGAAAAGCAGCAAAATTTGGCTCGCTGGCTAAAAACAAAGCAAAGCAAAGCTGCAGAAAAGGCAGAAAACCATGAACAGCAAGCCTCCACCTTCCTGTCCTCGTAGTATGAGCGGGTTGCATGAATGCTAGAGAGAAAACTGTGTGTGTGGTGATATTGCACCCTCTGCCTGCAGGTCCTTCGGGAGAGCTTTTGACTGAGCTGGTCAAAACACACAGCATTTGCAAACGCTCCATAGAATTAGCTAATAAGGCACATAGTGATGAAGCAGAAGCAGAAAACACGTGGATTTTGCTCCCCAGCCTCTGTGCTGCAACATGAAGCGTGCTTTTATTTTTATTTAATTTTTTTTTTCCCCTCTGAAAGCGACAACAAAAAGCGCGACTACTCCAGGAGTCACCCCCCCATCCCCTGCCCGCCTCTACGCAAGCCCAGCCATCAAAGCCAACATTCTCTAATACCTAGAGGGGATTGCTCCTCATTGCAAAAACTGGGGTTGACAACTCCAGCCTTTGTCCTGCTGGCGGCGGGGACGGGGGCGCGGGGGGCAGCGGTGGCTCGGTAGCTGGGGACATTGGGCAGCTGCTCTAGGGCCCCGCGGCTGGCAGGGCAGGGCTCCCCGCCACCGAGCGGCCTGTCATGCACCAGCCGGTCTAGCTCGACGTCCCGGGCCCGCCTGGCCATGCTGCTGCGAGCCTAGGTGCTTCAAGCAAAGGACAAGGCATCTGAAGCTGCAACAGAACACAGAGTGGTTTGAGCGGTTTGTGCGTCACGGCAGAAACGCGGGGCTGCCGCGGGTGTCGGCAGCACAGGACTGCAGTGGTGGCCGTTCTACGACGCCCTTTTCGCAGAATCACAGAAGGTTAAGGGTTGGAAGGGACCTTGAAGGTCATCTAGTCCCACCCTCCCATGCTATGGGCAGCGACACCTCCCGCTAGACCAGGCTGCTCAAAGCCTTACCCAACCTGGCCTTGAACGCTGCCATCCATGACCTCTGTGTTCCATTATCTCATCGCCCTCACAGTAAAGAATTTCTTCCTTTGATCTAACCTAAATTTCCCCTCCTTCAATTTTTACCCTTCACTCCTTGTCCTATCACTGTAGTTCCTGATGAACTTGCATTTTCTAGCATTGCTGCAAAATCGAGGTACCCTGCATGGGCTGCATCAGCCTGCACCAAGACTCAGGGCAAGCCATTCCTTGTGCAACCCCCAACATCAGTGCAGTTATGCCAGGACTTGCCTTTGCTCACTCAGGCTGTGATGGGAGTTCACCACCTGATTTTCATTAGCAACCCACTGCTTCCTAAAAGGCTCCATTAAAACGCGCTTTATGCCACCTGTTATTTTCCAAATCGAGCAAAGTGGCAGAGAAAATCCTTTTTATCCCTGTTATGTTCTTCAGCTGAAGGAGAAACTCTTAATTTCACATCAGGGATTGCTTAATCTACAGGACTCAGCATTGCACAAGCACCAGCCGTTCAGAGCTGGCTCCAGCCGATGCCAGTGTTGCCACCATGGGATGCTGTGCCCACGGGATGCTTTACCCCAGTGAAAAGCCCCAGCTGCCCATGCAGGCCCATGCTGCAGAGCTCTCAGCTGCCTGCTCCCCAACAGTGGAGAAGGAGAAGTTGGATTCTCCTCCCATCAGGCACCACATCGCCTGCTTTGATTCATCCCCATTTGTTGTTGTACTGCTACATGTTATACCTTCAGCATTGGTTTCAGCAGCTTCAGCTGTCTTCTCTTCCACCTTCAAAATGAAAAAAGCCGTTTTAAGTAGAAAAAGCCCTACTCTGCGAGTAAAAGAGCAGATTTTGCAGCTTGACTGGATTCCCCGTATCGCCCCGCTTTGCCAGACTCTCAGCTCCTTGTTCAGCGCCAACTTTGTAGGGTGAAAGAGCCCTCCCTCCATCCACAGCTACTGCTGCTGGCTCAGCTTCGAGGGTGGGGACATCTCGGTGGGAAACACGTCCAGTGCCCCCCCCAGTTCCTGCTCCTCCCAGGGCACTGCATATCTCTGGACCAGCTCCGAGCCCCTGGTACTCACTGGGCAGCAAGAGCTCATTGCAGACCTGAGCCCAAGCAGGGAGCGATGCCATACCTGTACAAGAGCACCTTCGAGATTACTTATCTCAGCTACTTCGTGCTGCTCAAACCTGAGGGCCTCCTCGCCAAAGTGGGCTTCATCCCCAGCCTTGTCCACTGTGAGAGAAGAGAGCAGGGATCTGGGAGGGAGAGAGAAAATACTGTGTAGGAGAACCAGGTGAGAGGTGCATAAATAAAGCAGGGCACTGCATAATTGCAGAGGCAGAAAGATACAAGCAGCATGTTTCTCCTCCTGTGCATAATCGTTTCTCATATAATTAAAATTTGCTAAATAAAAAGCCCAGAGCCTAATTTCCAGGCAGGGCTTTCCCAAAAGCACCATCCAAATCCCACGTTTGCCTGCGCAAGGCACTACCAGGACACATAATTCTCATTTTCTTTCAGCAGCAAGTGCAGACCTCAGCTCCACCATTCTGAAAAAAAGGGGCTTGCAGGATTGAATTTACTGTTCTAATATAACTTTAAAACTGAAAATAAGCACTTCACATGTTGCTCTTTGCACGTATCTCCTGATTTGCTCTTTCCTGGAAAGAAATGCAAAGCAGGGATTGGTGATAATGAGAAAAATTTTAAGACAGCTAAATGCATGAAAATCAAGAGACCATCTTTCTGTATCCTTGGCAGGTGCAACGTCAGAAGAGGTATGGCACAAACAGTGCTTGCTCTTTTTCTTTTACCTTCATGCCTTCAAACCCTGTTATTTTTCCAAGGTATTTTTAAAAATATTTTTAATAATTCCCCCTTTTTTTTTATTTTAGTTATGCTCCCTTCAAACATGATTGTAAGTCCTTCCATCCTAATCTAGAAAACCTGTTGGTCTCTCTCTCGTTTCCCAGTAAACAAACACACTGAAAGATGAAGCATCATCTCATTCACCCCACCACTGAAGCTCAAGTTTCTGTAGTGAAGCTCCAGGAACAGATTTTGATGCAATACAAACATATGGGTTTGATAGTTAATAATCGTGCATTTTCAGCTTCTTCCTGAAAATCTAGCTATTTTAGAGGAATTAACAGAGAATAATATTGTAGAACCAGCTGATAAATCCCTAAATGTTTTATCTCATGTGAAATCCAAGCAAACTACTGAACTAAGCAGAAAGATGTCTCTCAACACCATCTAGACCAAAGTCACTGCCTGGCACAGCTGACAAGAACTCGGATATTTTCTACAACAGGAAAAAAAAAATGCAAAATTGTACCTACTTGTATTAAGCGGTATTTCCAGGCAGAACACATAATCCTCTCTTTACATTCAGCTCTGTAGCACTCATAATAATTCCGACTGCCCTGAATTAATGGATGTGCTTTTAAATAGCAGGGACCGTCTCCCGGAGCTGGGCGCTCCCGCTCAGCCGAGCCGCCGGACCCGCGGGGGGATGGCCGGGGGCCGCGGTTGCTACGGGCGGCCGCGGTGGAGATGGAGCCCATGTCACCAGGAGACTCTCGCCCGTCACCAGGTGCCGCGTCAGCAGCGAGCCCTGGGATGAACCGGTTTGCAAAAGCATCCCTCCCTCCTAACCATCCCTCCCTCCTAACCATCCCTCCCCAGCACGCCACAGCTGCCTGCCAGGCTGGGAGCTCCGCTCTGCCAGGAGGAGCTCGCTCGTCCATGGGTGTTTTCAGCCTCTCTGGCTTTGTGAACGCAGTTGTAACAACAGCTGCGTTCACGTTCGTTTCCGACAAAGCCACAAAGGCAACGGGAGACACTCACTCTGCACTCTCCTCCTCCGTCGTCGTCTTCTCCTCCTCTTTCCTCTTTTCCTCTTTCCTCTTCTCCTCTTTCCTGTTCTCCCCCTCTTTCTTTTTTTTCTTCTCCTTCTTCTTCTTCTTGTCCTCCTTCTTCCCCTCCTTCTTCTTTTCCTCCTCCTTCTTCTCCTCCTCCACTTTCTCCTCCTCCTTCTCTTCCTCCACCTTCTTCTCCTCCTTCTCCACCTTCTTCTCCTCCTCCACCTTCTCTTCCTCCACCTTCTTCTCCTCCTTCTCCACCTTCTTCTCCTCCTCCACCTTCTCTTCCTCCTTCTTCTCTTCCTCCACCTTCTTCTCCTCCTTCTTCTCTTCCTCCTCATTCTTCTCTTCCTCCTCATTCTTTTCTTCTTCCACCTTCTTCTCCTCCTCCACCTTCTTCTCCTCCTCCACCTTGTTCTTCCCTTTGTCCTCCTTCTTTTCTTCCTCCTTATTCTCTTCCTCCACTTTCTTCTCCTCCTCCTCCACCTTCTTCTCCTCCTCCTTCTTCTGGTCCTCTTCCTCCACCTTCTTCTCCTCTTCCTCCCTCTTCTCTTCCTCCACTTTCTCCTCCCTCTTCTCTTCATCCTCCTCCTTCTTCCCTTCCTCCTGCTCCTTCTCTTCCTTCTCCCATTTCTTCTTTTCTTCCTCCTCCTTTTCTTCCTCCACCTTCTTCTCCTCCTCCCTCTTCTCTTCCTCTTGCTCCTTCTCTTCCTCCTCCCATTTCTTCTTCTCTTCCTCCTCCTCCTTCTTTTCCTCCCCCTCTTCCTCCTTGGCAGTGCTTAGGGAGCTCAAACACGGTCTGGGAAGGAGAAACTCATTAAGTAAAATCCACAAAGTATGTCTGAACCTCACACGGGGAGCCCTGCCAGTCTCCCCAACCCTCTTGGCCAGATCCCGGGGCTGGGGCATGCTGGGGATACGCTGTTTCACATCCCATTAGTGTCTACAGCTCCAAGGAGGTGGGAGGGAGAGTGGGAAAAAGTTTGGAAACCCAAAACCAGAGTCCTTGAGCTTTCAGATTCCCCTTGCTGTGTGGGAAGAGGATGTGCTCAGCTGTCCTTTGCAGGGCACTGTGAGCATTGCACTGATGGCTCTGCCACCGCCTGCCCCAACGCAAATCTCAACACCAGAAGCAAAGGGCATTTGCTGAAATACCTTTTGGGTTCCTCTGGTGGATGCCCCGCTCTTTGGAAACAGGCACCTCAGTTGCCAGCTCCATCACCAGTGCTGGCAAGGAGGGATGCCCGGGGACATGCTTGTCCCCTCCCATGGCCACCACACTGGTGACTGGAGAACGTGTAGAGCTGCCCACCAACAGCATCTTCCTTCCCCTACCTGTTTTCTTCCTCTTCATAAGGTTCCTCCTGTATGGGGGGAAGGGAGCGAACATCTGCCTCTGGCTCAGCCTCGTGACTCCAGGCCATCACCTCACACATTTCTTCATTAATCTGCTCATCAGTGATCTCTTCCAGGATGAGATGGGTCTCCTCGGGTTCCCTGGTGGGTGTGTGAACTGAAATTGGAATGGGGAAAGGGAGGTGATGAAATGAGAGTGTGAGAGCACGTTCTTGGGGTTCAGATGTCAGGCCAGGGCAGATCCTATGTTTTATCTGCTTGGTACTGCAACGCTGAAGCAGCTCTCAGCCTGCACAGATTTGGGCAGCTCTGGTGACCCCAAGCTGTGCTGGACAGATGCCTTGGGCCCTTTGCCAGGAGGAAAAAGAAAATTCACCATTTTGTGCCAAGCACAGCCAAAGCCCTGTGAAGCCCCTGAGCAACCTGGTCTCGTGGAAAGTGACCCTGCCCGTAGCAGGGGGGTTAACACTGGATGAGTTTAAGGTCCCTTCCAACCCCAACCATCCTGTGGTTCTGTGAAAGCTATAACCCTCTGCACACAGATGACTGCTGTGTAGCCACCTCCACCAGCAGCGATCTGTCCCATTTCCAGGCCACATTTTGCCTCTCCTTGCAGTCAGGAGCAGCCAAGGGAAGAGCCCAAAGCCTCTCCCTTTGTGAAGTCCCAGCAAAGCGCTGCCCTGGCACAGCCCAAGGGCCCCGGATCTGCAGAGCAAAACCCAACCCAAGCACCACACAGTGTCTGCTCCAAACACTCCCCTGGCCACGGTGTAGGGAGCATCCCATTCCCACTGCCACTGCCCAGCATCACTGGGGAAAAAAACAACCCTGGTGGGTTAGTGGGGGAGCTGTGGAGCAGCTGCAGGGTGAGGAGTGCACGCCTGACCCACGATGAGCCCCCTCTGTGTCCCAGGGGTACCCATCCTGCCACGCCAGGCACACGCCAGAGAAACAGGAGGAGGAAGCACATCCGCTTACTGTAAAATCAGTTTATTTTTGATGCCTGCCTGACAACAAAACTTACATGTCCACAGTGAAGCCGATGGGAAACGTGCAAATTCAACTACGGAAAGGCAGGAAACCCAGGCACGGTTGTACTCGTGGTGTAATCACCCACCCTAATTAATCACCCACCCTGTTAATTAAAACAAGGGACAGCAGGCAGGGAGATGGCTTTTTAAAGCACACCATGGCTTTTGGATACATTATATGAAAATGGGGCAAATGCTAAAAACTGTGGCCTGGTACAAGCAGGGGGTGGATCTCAGGGCGGTCTCTTGGCTCACGACTCATCATTTTAGTTGCCTAGATGGGCCTAAAGAGTTGCAACGAGATGGTGGGAGATCTTAACCCAGCCTGTCATCAGGGGGCTTACACAGGAGATGGAGGAAGACTTTTTACCAAAGTCAGTGACAGGAAAAGGGGCAACAGTTTCAAACTGAAGAAGGGATGTTCATAAGGGAGAAATGCCCAGTGAGGGCAGTGAGGCCCTGGCACAGCTTGCCCAGAGAAGCTGTGGATGCCCCACCCCTGGAAGTGTTTAAGAGCAGATTGGATTGGGCTCTGAGAACCTGGTCTAGTGGAAGGTCTGGGCAAAGGTTTTTAACCATTAAGTCCTACCTATTCACCTAGAGATTAACCTCACCCATCTGATTTGCTGCTGCAAACCAGAGCCCTTTCCACTTGCTAGGAGAAAACAGTTAGTGGAAGAAAAGCAATGAGGAGCTGACAAGAGCTTCAAGAGCTTTATAACGTTACACCTCGGAGGCAGAAGTTGACTCAAAGAAACCTGTGGGTTTCAGCTGGAGGTCTCAGGCTGAATATTCAGATTTTAGGGGGGCATTGAGAGGGCCAGGAGTGCTGGGAGACTGCAGCAAGAGGCTTTCTGCCACCGAGGTGTCCTGAGTGATGTTTTTCTACCATCCTATCAATTGTAGCTCCCATCTCATAGACACTGTCCTGAAAAACTAACAGCTCCAATTCCCAGAGAAAAGAGGGAGCCAAGTGGGACAGCCCTGGGACTGGGGACATGCAGCTGGCATCTCCATGCCAGGCTTGGGTCCCCACTGCCCCAGCTGGGAAGGAGCTAGAGACTATTTGCAAATTCCCCTTTGCTTTTCCTCCCCAAGCTGCGCTTTCTCCTCGGGCTGGTCTCATTTGGGTGTGGGAAGGGCTGGTTTGCCATGGTCTTCGTTTTCCGTTTGTTTCAGAGGCGCTAAGCCCCTTTGCCCCCTGAAACAAAAGGAGAAGGAAAACATTAATGAGCGTGCTGGCAGTTTGGGGCCAGGCCAGATCTCTTGTTCAACCCAATTTAGTGACCTGGAGGTGCCCCAAGGCACCAAAGCCAGCTGTGCACCAAGGCTGTGCCTGCCCAGCACATCCCTGGCTTTGCCTCTTTCAGAGGTCCATGGCAGTGCACAGGTCTCCAGTTGGTACAAACACATGAGAAATGCTTTTCCCCAGGATTTCACTCTCTGAGGTTCTGCCAAGCCGCTGTTGGCTCAGCAGGAGCAGCCTCCTGGCGTGTTCCTGGAGGATGTGCAGCTTCCCTGTGCCTCAGAGGGTCCCTGCTCCCATCAGTAGCTCCCACAGCCTAACCAGCCACTCCTTCCCAGAGACAGCACTTGCAAGGGGCTGTGTCACCCTGCTCAGTCCATCCAGAGAGGCATCCAGAGTGGCTCTGCCATTTTATCCAGTATCCCCCAACGTGGCTGGTGGGGAAAGCCAAGCCTGACTGCCTGCAGAGCCGGTGCTTGATCCCCTCCACAGGCAGGCAAGAAGCAGTGTGAACCCCACAAGTTTCCCCACGACCATGCAGACTCATGTCTAACACACCTAATCCCAGGATTTTGTTTTCCTGAGGTACCTTCCTAGACAACTCACACCAGGCTTGGCAAACACCTTCCAGCTTAGCAGCAAGCATGCCAAAGGGGGAGGGAGGGGGGAAAGAAGGCGGCAGGTTTGAATTCCCTTTGATCAAATCCCACCAGCTCAGCAAACATCCTCCAGCACAGCTCGAGGACAGATCTTGAGAGCAGCACTAACCTCAAAACCTGGGACCCAAGGATAGTGGGATGCTGCACTTAAAAATTCCCATAAACCCTGAGTTTTACCAAATCACTGCCACAACTCCACAACCGCTCCTGCATCTCAAGTGTCAACAGCCTCCCATGGCTTTCCCAGGGGATTCCAAGGGCTCCCAGGCTGGCACCCAGGGCAGGTCAGGGGATAAAAGATGACCCCTCTTCCCAATAACCTTTCTGACAAGCTCAGCAATCAAACTGTCACGGCGAGATGGAGACACCACTTACTTTGTTCCGCAGGATTCGAGGTTGCTGCGGCCACTCCCTGCCAGGAGGAAAAGGGAAACATGAGATACTGTCCATTCTCAGTAACCCTACATTTCTACCCTAAATACCCCATTTTCAGGAAAAGTGGCCCTATTACCCTAAATACCCCCCGTGATTTCTCATGCCAAGTTGGATGGCTTGGCTGTGGACACACTTGATAATACGGGGCAGGAGCTCATCAGTGAGCTCGCCTGGGAGCAAGGGCAGGAAAGGAGAGCATGCAAAGCTGCTGCTGCTGCTGCTTATCCTTAGAACTGGGACTGCACTTGGGTGAGATGCCAGGGCCTGGACACCACCCAGAAAGGCAAGGAAATGGTAAAGAAAACATGCTGCAGGCTCTCATGCTGCTTAGAAGCCAAATTCTGGTTTTCATCAGCTGAGCAGGTCGTGGGGATTTGCTTTCTTGAAGGAGCTGGGTCACAGCCCAAACCACACCAGGTCCCAGCACTGATCTAGTAGCTTCTGCATTGCAGGGGACACCCTCCCACCAGGGACATGGTGTTCCTGTGCCCTTTGCCTATCCAGCAGACAGCACACCTGTGTGTCCTGCTTCCCCGTGGTCACCGGCTGTGGCAGCACCTTCTCCAGCTTCTGGACAAACCAGATGAACATCCTGGTGACAAGAAACCAATGTTAGAACTGGCAGCCAGAGCCTTTGCTTCCACATCAGCCAACCCTCTGGCCAGTGGACCCAGGCAGAAATTGCCCTGTGGTTACCTGAGGCCATCCAGAGCCATGGACTGAGTTGTGAGGGTGGTCACTGGCTCTGGCTGCCCCGTGTCATCTGCTGGTGTCTCTGCCACTGAGGTGCTCAGGGCAGCTGAAAGGCTGGGTTTTGGCTTTGCCTTCCTTTGAGTCCTTTTTGTGCCTGCTCAGGTTTTTCGGAAGAAGAAGGGGGATAGGCAATGCAGCAGTCATAAATTTTTGGGAAGCAGAGCAAGCAAGGAAGGGTCACCTCCCACAGAGACACAGGCCTGGGGTACCTCCCTGGCAGCCTCTCCCCTGGGGACCCAGCCTGGGTTGAGGACATGGGCAGTTTGGGGACAGCAGTGATGTAGGGGCAGAGCTGCGATGCCAGGACCCCTCTGCCCACCCCTCTCAGCACAGTGGGAGCCCTGGGCACGGAGATGAAGGGCAGCCCCTGTGCCTGCTCACAGCTGGGCTCTCAGAGGCACAGGGTCTCCTCTGAAAGGGCCACCCAGGGAAGGGGGATTAGATCACTCACCTTCCACTGTGGCTTCGCAGTTCTGATCCTTCTGCTCTGTCTGCAGGGAGACAGAGGGACACATGGATGTGGCAAAGCACTGCCTGCAGCCTCACACCACCCCACGTAGACCTATACCCATGTTTCCTCACCCCAAGGAATCCCACACTCTCACAGCCCCACACATCCTCTGCTGCAGTGTCAGCCCCATTTCCCTGACAAGGATTAAACCCAGTGGTTTTGCCACCAGCAGGTCCCAGTCGGAAGGTCCCCCCTGCATGCAGCCAGGTTGGGAACACCAGGACAGCACCCCAAGGTCTCTCTTTTGCTCTACTGAATTCCCTTGGAGTTTTCCTCCCCGAGGTCCCAGCTGGGGTGTGCAGGAGGATGAAGGCAGGGAGCCCACCCTGCTGTCAACCTCTGCCCCTTGGTCCCCGAGTCTCCCCGAGCCGGGCCGTGCTCACCTCCAGACTTTTCATCCCCTCCGGCTGCGGCACAATCCTCTCAAAGCCCTGTGACAGCCAGCTGAGCACCCGCTTTCCTACCCTGTGAGGAGAGTGCCATGCTCAGGGAGCTCATCCCATGCCCTCCTGTCCTCCCCCAGCACCCCCAACAGCCTCGCTGGGGACCCACCACTCCTCTGTGGGGGCATCCTCGAAGTCGTCCTCCAAGTCGTCCTCCTCTGGATCGAAGGGGATTATTTCTGCAAGGAGAGCGTTGCTGTGGGCATGGGGGACCTGCACTGCTGGGAGCTTCAGGTGCCCCCCTCAGCCAGCTCGAGGGGACAACTGTGCCAGCATCACTAGTCAGGGTGGTGGGGTGTGGGAGTCCCAGAGAGACCCCCGGGATGTTGCAAACTACAAGCTGCCAGCTCTCCTTACCGAGACCGTCATCCTCATCTGGAAGGGTCTGGACCTCCGTCTGAAAAGCCAAACAGACTGTCACCCACCCGACAGCTAAGGTGGGGCTCACCCTCTTGGGTGGGGAGGGAAATCTGCCCTTTCCCCAGGGATGGATGAAGGCAGAAAACCATGCAGGGCACATTTGCTGCTCCCAGTTAGCACTGGGAGAGCGATAGGAAGGAAAAAAACATGTAGAAGCCCCAGTACACCAGACCGTCGCCCAGATCTGTCTCCTACCTCATTAGGAACATCAATGCTTGTATCGAAGCTCTTCGTGAGCACCTGCACTGTCGCTTGGGCTGGGACCGGGACTGGGACTGGCTGGGGAATCACCCTCCTTAGCCCATAGGAGAGCCAGAAGCGCACATTGCTCCCCATGCTGCCAGGGAAGGGAGAGAGTCAGGCTGGGAACACCATTCCAGGCAGCCAGCCCCAACTAAAAAGCAAAATCCCAAGCAAACCGTGTTGCACACTGGAGGGTGCAGGAGCCATACCTCTCAAGCATAGAACCTGTGTCCTCAGGGACCACAAATTCTACTTTCTTCACTAGTTCTTCAGTGGCAGCAGGGAAAAAGAAACAAAGGCAAGCTCCTATCACCATTCTGGCAGCCCCTAGTACACTGGGCAGGAGGGGGATCAGTCGGTAAAGGAACGTGACCTGTGGCCTGAGCCCGTGTGGGGCTTACCCTCAGTGCGTGCCCGGTCAGCAGCATCCGTGGGGCCACCAGCTTTTCCTGTTGGTGCCTTCAGGGTAAAGGGCAAAAGGTGTCAGAGAGTGAGGCACAGTGGACAGTGTCCCCACTCAAAGGTGGCTGCAAACCCCAGGGACTCCCCATCCTTCCTGCTGCTTCCCAGCAGCTCAGAGCAGGGAAGCGTCCTGGCCCCCATCCCTCTTGGGGATGCTGCGGAGCATCCCTGGGTGCCAGAGTGCTAGGAATGGATGCAGAGGCACAGGCATTTCTCCATATAGGTCACAGCATCCCCATTACCTCCCAGACTGGCTCCCTGCTCACCTTAACTGGTTCCAGCTCCTGCCCAGGTGCCTGGGGGTCTCATCCGTCACCGGGGGCACCGGGGGCTGGGGAACCACCCGGTTGATCCAGCCCATCATCCCGGTGCCTGCGGGCAGTGAGGAGGGGTCTCCAGCCTACAAGAGGCCAGCAGCAGGGGTGCACACCCCCCAGGGAATGCCAGGTGCACCAGCTGTTCGCGCTGTCTCCAGAGCAGCCCGAGAAGGTCCTTGGTGTCCTCCCGTTTCGGTGTCCTGCTTGGGAAATGTGGCACTGCTCAACCTGGGAGTGTCTTCTGATGATGCCCTTCCAAAGAGCCACACTCTGCCCAAAATGCCCCTCCAAGGACACCCCACACTGCTCAGTGAGGGGCCCAGGAGCACCTTGGGCAGTCCCTATGCTGCTGCTCGCAGATGATGCCTGCAAAGGGCAAAAGAAAGCAGATCCCTGAGCTCCTTCCAGCCCAGCTGGGACACAGCATGGGGGTTTCAATCCCAGGTAGGCACATGACCCCAGTCCCACACGCAGCAGGTACAGGCTGGCAGTGGCTCAGCACTGGGCTCTTTGCATTAATGCAGCCTTTAGTGGTGCAGGACGCCTTCAGTTCCCTCAACATGGCTCATGGGGGGCTGTCCAAAGCCTGGCTCCTTGAATCTAAACAGGCCAAGGGTGGTTGATTTGTGTCCTCAGCCCTTTGCTCGTCCACACCTTGGGAAGCTGAGGAGCCAGGTTTGGATGCAGCTGAAGCAGCACTTCCAGCCCCCAGTGCACCACAGACAGGGTCAGCTCTCCCAGCAAACCCCACACCCCCAAAACTGGACAGCGTGGCTGTAAAACACCTCCCAAGAGTCCAGACAACCAGAAACCAACTAAATTGCCTTTTACCACCTGCTGGTTATAAAGGATTAAGGAGCTGCGAATGCCCCAGGAGCAGGAAGGAAAACCCGGCAGCCCCACACGGCAGAGGCATTTCTACCCATGCTTTGGCACAGTGCAGGGTCAATGTACAGTACTGAGCCCAAACAATTCCAAAGAAAGCCCCCCAGGGCTGCAGAGAGCCCCCCTGACAATCAAGGTTTCCTCCTCCCTCGACATAAGCTTGTGAAGCTGTAAAAGCCTAGAGCATTAGCCTGTCCTTGGTCTGGGAAGGAAAGTGGAGGGCAGAGGCCATTCCTCTGGCACATCTGAACAAGAAAGGGGCAGAAACATCTGTGAGCCCCCAAAAAACTAGCTGCTGGAAGAAACAGGGAATAAGTAGCCAAGATTTGCCCACAATGGCACGGAAGAGCTGGCACTCTTATGCATCCCCCTGCTCTGAGGGTACCTACCGGTGCCACCACCTGTTGTGGCAGCTCCATGGGGCTTGTGCCAGCGAGCAAAGGGCCTTAGTCTTATCTCCAGCAGCAGATGGGGTGCAGGCCCAGTGTTCCCATTTGGAGCAGGGAGCACTGTGGCCTTTCCCTCCCCTCCAGCAGCCCATCAAACCCTCCATATTACCCAGCTCCACTGCCCTTGCAACATCACTCCCCATGGAACTGCTCCCTCCCCTGACACAGCTCATCCTCCAGCTCTGTTTTCAGAGTGCCAAACCCCCCTGTGATGTGCAGAGGTGGTCCTGCAAAAACCCCAGCCCCATCCCTCGCCTCAGTTGCTGCCACTTACCCCTGAAAACTCACCACCACCTCCCTGGGAAGCCACCTCGGGATGCGTGGGCTCCCTTGGCCACTGCAGTTCACGACTGACCCCCCAAACCCGCCTCAATCCGCTCAGGGCTCTGCAGGGGATTAGCCCTGCGCTGCCTGCAAATGGGATTACAGGCACCCAGCTGTCCCGAGCGCCCCGGCTCCCAGCAGCCAGCCTGGTTTTGGTGCAGGGCACTGCAAAGAAAAACCCCAAAATGAAGCAGGTTCGAGCATCCTCAAAATCCCTGGAGCCTCCAAAGCTATCCCAGGCACTCACCGGCAGTGCTGCAGGGCAGGAGGTCGCCTCGCCTGGGTGCAGGGGGTGCAGGAACGTGCAGATGAGCAGCAGTGGAGCTGCTGAGACCCCGAGGGGTGACACAAGGCGGTGTGATGAGGGCGATGTGCTGAGGGTGCTCCACCCACAGCTCTGCCCCAGCCCCAGAGGAACCAAAGCAGGAGGCAGCAAATCTGCTGGGTTGAGCTAAGCCTCCCCTTGCTGAGCCTGCCAATTGCTGCTTGATCCGTTTACCTCCAGCCCTGCTCAACTGCCAGCCTTTCCCACTGCCCCTAATCTCAGTCACGCCCTGGAAGGCAGGTACCAGCAAGGCTTCTCTGCTCGACATCCAGCCCCAGCTCCTGTCTTTGGGCAGAGCTCCCTGGAGCAGTGCTGGAGCCCCTTGACCAAATTCCTCCTTCCCCAGCTCCGTGGCTGTCTCCAGCCTGGTGGGCAACAAGTACCCATCCTGCTGCAGCTTTGATTCACAGCCAAGGAAACAGTGGCATAGAAGCATTTTTTTCAGTTACCCGGGGACAAACACCCATCTCACCTGGCCAGGGTGTGGGATGGAGCAAGTTATGCTGTCTGCAGGTAGCAGGCTCCTCTCATGCGATCACAGGATTGGGGGGTGCAAAACAAACCTCTGGGAAAGCTCAAACAGTTTTGTGTAGGGCTGGGGAGCTCAGAGCACAACAGTCATCAGCTTCTGGCTCTCGAGCAGTTGTTCCTTTCTGGCAGACCGAGACTCCTGCCTGTTTCTGTCCAGAGGCTCCTGGGGAGGAGTTCTACCCTGGGGAGGGAGCACTCCACCTCTACCAAGGGGCAACTGCAGACTCTGCTTGCCTGGGGAGCCTGCCCATATCCTGCATCTTGACTTTTGGTTACCAGGAAGACGAACTATCATTTCTCCCTCAAAAAAGTTCAGGGAAAAGAGAGAAAACATGAAAAAAAAATAAAATAAAAAAAAATCAAGCAGAGCCAGACAGAGCACAAAGACAGACGGGGAGGAGGTACCTGGCACATGGCCTCCACTCCAGAAATCTTACAGAGCCACAGGAAGGTATAAATAACTATAAATTTATTAGTAAAGCAAAACCATTTGACACTCACACAGAAGAGCGGGATGTGTTAATACAATATATATACACACATACATGGAGTATCATCTCAGAAACACACGGAGAGCAGTGTTAAAGGCACTGCAAGCCACACAAACCTCATCAACCTTGGCTGCAGCTTCCCACAGCCCTGGGAACTCTGCCGGAGTCACGAGTAAAGATTAGGAGGAGCCTGAGAACCTCGCTGGCCATGAAGTCCCTCAGATCCACGGCTCGGAGGCATTCAGAGACAAGCCCACGGTCCAGCTCCCACCTGTGGTCCTGCTCCCCTCAGTGAGCATCCCAGGCACGCTGTGAGAGCAGCATCTTCATGTCCAGAAAGCAGCAGGGCAGTGGAGGAGGCCTGGCAGCTGGGGAGAAGCCGTGCTCACCTGGCCCGGGGGGAGCTGCCAGCCCCAAACCTTGGCCTGCCCTTATTGCATGTTGGCATTTCACCTGCCTGCACAGGAACCTTCCTGCAGGTTCTTCTCACCACCCAACAGAGAGAGTCAGACTCTGAAGAATAACAAGGGGTTTTGCCTACTATTAATAGCCAGGCTTCGGCTGCAGCCTGGACTTAATGGCAAATACCCAAAGGAAGTGCAGAAAGTGCTCTCCACCCTGCTCTCCTCCCTGCAAGGGCTGGCTTGAGCACCCAGAGATGGTCCCAAAAGTCTGTCAGAGGACACCTTCCCCTTCGTCCCCAACTCCAGCAGGTGGGCCCCAAGATCAGAGTGTGCACATCTTCCCACCCAGACCACAGGGATGGCATCTGCTTGCTGGAGCGCTGGCAGGGCCACCTGGGCATGCCCATGGTCCCAGGGGTGTCCACGCCACAGCTAACTCAGCTCAGCCACCTGCCTGATGCACACAGATGCTCCACAAGCACTCCCAAGGGAACTAACTGAGCAGTCTGAGCCCACCCCAGACTTCTCCCCTGGAACATCTGACAGTCCTTCAATGACTTAATCCCCAGCCTTGAGGAGCTGGCAAAGGGACCCACCATGGAAATGGCTGCTCTCACCCCCAAGTGCCCATTTCCTACAACTCTGTTCTGGCTCCTGGTCCTGGCTTAGAATTGCCAGCTGTACCATGGACAAGATCTGAGTGAGCCAAACTGCCAGGCCACAGGCACTGCCCATACCCAGCCAGAGGGATGGCCTCGTGTGGGGAAGGACCAGAAGCACCCACTGGATTCCAGCAAGATTCAGGTCCCAAACACCTCACCATCACCTGGATCCAGCCTCAGCCTTGGAGAGGAATTTGGGGCTGAGTGGGGGATGGGAACGAAGGAAGAGACCTCACAATCAAAATGGAAAAAGGGATGAAAACCAAAACACTGTTTACAATTAAAGAACTGAACCAAGGGAAAAGGAGCTGAGTAGGTCTTTTAAAAGTATAAGCAAAATAGCTGTGGAGCGGATGGGGCTGAGACACACCTAAAGGCATCCTGTATTTAGGGTAAGGGGAAATGAAGACCAGAAAAAAAAAGCCCAAGTCACAGATTACCTTTTTCCTGGACCCAGGAAGCCACGAGAACAGCAGCCCTAGAGAGCAGGATTTATTTCCATGGACAACGTCCACATCACCTCTGCCCAGCCTAACCCTCCCTGCTGCCTCCTCAGCAGCACCCTACGCTCAGGCTGCCTGAAGAGAACCACCCTTCAGGAGGGACCATCCACTACCCAGCCCTACAGAGCATCCTCAGGGGGTCTGGCAACCAGGTCTTGAAGCCAAGCACGAGCGCTTGCCACACAGGGCTGATGCAACACCAGCTCCAGCACAGCAACCCTCTTGGGTGTGAGGGATGCGAGAGGCCAAGCAGAGGCAGCGTGAAGAAGCCTAAAAGTCGCTTGAAAGAAAGGTCAGAAACGAAGTGCAGCACAGGCACAGAGTAGAAAACACATTTTACTCCCGAGAGGCTTTGGCCACAACTGCTCTTTGGTTTGAAAAGGAAACACCAGCTGTTAGCAAAGAGCCCTTTGCAGTGTAATGCCCCAGGGACATCAGCTCCCAGGCCAGCCCCTGCCTCCCCACAAAGCACTGCACTCCTGACACTCACGTGCCTCCTGCTCATTCCATCACCTCTCACCTCACGCTACAGGACATGACCTAAAGGCACAGCAACGGAGATCAACCCGCTCCCCCAGCCCACCTGCACACAACTCTGCTGCTTCCAACTAGAACATGCTCCTACAAAAACACACCCGAGGCTCCTGGTGGCCGCTCAGC